GGGACACGGGGGGGGGACCCGCCGGGAAACGTGGGGAATGCAAAGCCGGGAAAACCCCTCCGGCAGTACCTGTACCAGGGAACTTCTGCACAAGGTACAAAAGAATCGTATTTAAAAGGACCCAAAAATGTCACGGAGGAGGGATGTGTCCCCAGGGAGCAGAGCAAATTTCTGAGGAGTTTTGGTTTTGTTGGGGTTTTTCTGCCCTGGGGAAGCAGACAGCACCCCCAGGGCTGCCCCAGGCTGTGCTTGGGGTTGTGGGTGCTCTCACCAGAACCAGGCAAAAAGGCATAACAGGGTAATTTTAAACCCTAACGCTGGTTTTTTGGTTCACTGAAGCCAAAAAGGAATCTTGCAGAAGTCACAGCCTCTCTAAACTCAGTGTCATTTTGCTGCTTTTCAGTGAAATACTTAAATCTCACAGCAGGTTTTTCAGTTTTGTTCACTTTAACATTTTGGAAGCCTTGAGTTCAGTCGGTTTATCAGACAGGAATGCTGAAGTTTCCCTCTTTCACAAGATTCTGCACCATCCTTTGTCCAATATCATTAGTGTGAGGGTGGGAAAAAAAGGGTGTGGTGTCCTTTTATCTTTCTGTTCAGAAAAAAAGGGGGGGAAACCCCCCAAAACTGAAGAGACTGATCACTGCTGTACTAATGTTCAATCAGAAATGTTTGAGGGGATTTTCTATCACATGGACGTGCATCTTCCAAGAAGATGAAGGATTACCATGCTGAGCAGGTGGGATTTATATTTGTTTTTCCTGAGCAGGGAGCATGATTACATTCTGATCTGGAAAAACAGATGCACCAGCATAGCTCTGTTTAGCTTGTAACCATCTGAGTAGGTTCTGGGATTTGTTGCATAGTGTTTGTTAAATGGCTTAGTGGGGAAAAGTGCACAGAAGCAGCTCTAAAAATTGTTATGAGAAACCTTGTGATAAAGAGGAGTTCCTGACATGGACTGGAAAAGAGGAGACAACCAATACAGCACATCAGTCGTTTTCCAAACAGATAAAAGCTCCTCTATTTGAGGTGACAAGTGAGGTTTTTTTTTTTTAAATTCAATCTTTTTTATTATTTTTTTATTCAATCTTCTTAATTCAATCTTTTTTTAATTCAATCTTCAGTCTTAAAAAAAACCCAACCAAACAAACACAAAAAGCCCAAACAAACATAAACAACCCTCATGTTGGCCCTGCAAGGGGAGGGGTTTTTTTTTCAAAGGGCAAAATAGTGGCTGGAAAAGGAATATATTCTTTGTCTTATAAGCATGTTTTTATTGCTGTAGCTGACTGAGGGCCAGATGCTGTTTGTTTCAAAAACAAGACAAAAGACAAAGGGAAGAGCAGCTGTGCAGGGACAGCAAGGGCTGCAGTCCTGGGTACAGCCCCATCCTTGGGCTCCTAGCACTCCAGATTAACCTCCCCATTCCAGCAACGGCCTGGCTGAGGTCATTATGTATTGTTCCATGTCTGTGTCTGCCCAGGGAGCAGCTCAGGGGCTTGCCAGGAATAGCACCAGCAAACCCCAGTTGCTGCCCCTGCAGCCCCAGCCCACAGAGGGTGTTTGTTTCCTGCAGCCCCGTTGGACAGGGACGGCCCGAAAGGATTCAATGTCAGTCTCCTGTTAGTGCCAGATAATTAAGATGAAATGAACTTCTAACCTGCATTTCAGTCTCATCCCCCCTACCTGCCCTGTGGGGCTGCAGCACAGCCTGGGGGGGCTGCCCAACCCCTGCCAGCAGAAGACAGGAGTGACCCCAGGCTGGCAGGGCAGGACAGAAGCTCTCCAGGTCCCAGCACAGACCATACTCCAGGCTTCCCGTGGCTCCAGTCCCACAATCAGGCTCCAGCTTGAAATCTGTTTCCCATGGCCAGATCCCTGCTCCTGCCTGCAATACCACCCTGCTCCCCTCCCTGTCCCCAGGGGGTGGAGGGTCCTGTCCCTGCTGCTTCCCAGAGGGACAGACATGGCTCACCCTGGACACACAGCCAAAGGATGGATGCAGTTGTGTCCTCAGCTGGACAGAAGATGAGGCTGGTGCAGGAGCCTGGTGGTTCCCTTCATGCCCATGTTTCCAATAGAAATGCATTTCAACAGGCAGCCAGTGACTTACCCCTTTATTCTTCTTTGGAAACCAAACCTGGTGGCTGAGGCTGCCTGGTGGGGTTTGTAGCCCCTATTAGGCCAGGGTGGGACCTCCCACAGCAGAGGTCTGGGCACCTCTGGGCAGATCCAGCTCCTGCTCCCAGCCCTTGGCACAGCACTGGGAGGGCCCCCCTGGAGGGCAGTGAATCCCCCTAGGAACACGTTTTCCCTGGAGCTACAACGAGTGTTACTGTCAGAATACTGGAGAGTTTCCTTGAGCCACAGATAACACAAATACTGTCCAGAATGAAGCGTTTCCCCTGAGATCACCCCTCCCACCTTTTGCTTTGAGGTGCTGACCCTGGCCCTGCTGCTGCAGCCCGAGCTGGGCCGCGTTGCCCTGCGGCTGCGCGCGGCCCCCGGCCGCA